GGCTAAAGAATTATAAGAATGCAATTAAAATTATTACCTGTAAAAGCGTTCAAGTGGCACTTGTAATCGCTTTAATAATAATTCTCATCTTTGCTGATAAAAAATAAAAATAAAATAAAAACAGCTTCTTCTTCAATTCGCATTACCGTTTTCCAAAACATAACCAAAGGAATCAACTTTTTATTTACCAAAAAAAAAAAAAAAAAGAAGCAACTTTTTCGAGAAAGGAGCAAGTTACGGCTTCTGGGAGCCGAACAGCATGGGCGCAACAACACCACAAAGTTCAGCCTTCGGCTACCAGCAACCAACGAGGACAACACGGCACTGAGTTCATCAGCAGAGCCATCGCTCAGTACATTGTCGACGCCCGCCTCTATGCTGTTTTCAAGCAGTTTTCTATGCACTCTTCAATCTACTCTCTGGCTTCTTCATCCCCAAATCGGTGACTTAACTTTATTCACAAGTAAATTCTATTCTATTCATAATTCAATTACTCATATTGACTCAAAAATTCATTCGATGTTGATGAAATTGCAGAGAATTCCCAGGTGGTGGATTTGGTACTACTGGATTTGCCCTGTGGCATGGACAGTTTATGGATTAATCATATCACAAGATGGTGATGTAGAACAGACAATAAGGTTCCAGGATCCACAGCAGAACCATCTATTAGATGGTATATTGAGAGCCATTTCTGGTATGATCCATACTTCATGGGACCGGCTGCTAGTGTTCTGGTTAGATTCACAGTGTCCTTTGCCTTCATGGCATAAAGACACTGAGCTTCCAAATGAGGTAGAGGTAATTCATGCCGAGAAATTCTTCCTCAACCATGTGCTACAAATGAAAAGTGACCTTGTGAATGCAAAAACACAGTGGAATGAAATAGTTGTATTAGGCCTGTATGTATCATTTCCCTAATCTTTTAGAAGCAAATATATGGTCGTTTGCAAGATTTTGAAAGTTGTATTGGGCTACTAGGAAATGTAAAGAATTTTGAAGGAAAAATCTTTTTGCTACAATGAACAGCTGAAACTATATTTTTCTTAATTATTATGCTCTTAATTGGATATGCAAGTGGATATATAAAAGTTTTGCATCAGGTTTTAAGTTGCAATTGCAGTTATACGTATCGGTTTTCAAAACACTTTCTAGTTCTAGCTTTCAACAATGGAAAAGTTTGCGTTTCACCTAGCCACATTCATCCACCTCCTTTTCCCCACCATGGCCTCCATCTACAACATTGAGATTGACAGATTCATAATTTCTATTAAGTGGGAACAAATATATTAAATTCTATTAAAAAATCAAACTATTTTCTTGATATTGTTGATATAGATCTTCTGAGTGAGCTTGCAAGAAGGGAAAAAGATGCAGGAATTTTTCCAAAGGCAGAAGTGCCTTTTCATGAAAGTAATTAATAATCTCCAAGTATCCCCCTTTTTCTTCTTAAAACAGATCGTTTGCATCATAGATACTGATCATAATAATTCTTATGAAATTCAGGCAACTGCAATGAAATGAGTTGAAAGCAGCCTAATTATAGACTACACTCTCAAGGTAGGTTTTCCCTCTATTTTATTTTGAACTTTCTGTCACTTTCCCCAGAAAACAATAATCACAATTCTTAGAATCTGATTAAATTAATGCCTTAATTAGTTCATTTACGACCCCGCTTTATGACTTTCTTGGTTAATAAGGTTCTAATTAATCAGAAAGCTTGTCTTTGTCCATTTCTTCTTAGAAAATCTCCTATCAGAGGGTCAGATCATCTATCAGGGCCCACGAGAACACATCCTTGAGTTCTTTGAGTGTTGTGGGTTCAAGTGCCCTGAGAGAAAGGGAACCGCTGATTTCTTACAAGAGGTAAAAATCTCAAAACAAGACCCACTTAAACATGGGCTCAAACTTGGTGCTTTATGGTCCTTGTCTCCTTGAGTCCATAAATGAAGAATAAAAGCACTTGTATTTTGAGGAAGTAGACTTTTGCAGGTTACCTCAAGGAAAGACCAAGAGTAGTACCGGGTAGACAGAAATAAACCATATAGATGCATCACAATGACTGAGTTTGCAAACAAGTTCAAATGTTTCCATGTTGGAATGCGGCTTGACAATGAGCTCTCGGTGCGATTCGACAGGTCAAAGGGTCATAGAGCAGCCTTGGCATTCAAGAAATACTTAGTCCCCAAAATGGAACTCCTCAAGGCGTGCTGGGACAAAGAATGGTTACTCATAAGGAGAAATTCTTTTGTTTACATGTTCAAGACGGTTCAGATCATCATTGTGGCAGTCATAGGGTCCACGGTGTTCATAGGGACAAGAATGCATACCCAGACTAAGGAAGATGGGCCACAGTATATTGGTGCACTTCTATTCTCCTTGGTCATTAACATGTTCAATGGTTTCTCCAAGCTAGCCATCATGATCAGTAGGCTTCCTGTATTTTACAAGCAAAAGGACCTTGTCTTCCACCTGGCATGGACGTTCACTCTGCCAACATTCCTGTTTAAGCTCCCTATATCTGTTCTGGATTCTGTCATTTGGATGGTCACCACATATTACTCTATTGGATTTGCACCTGAAGCTGGCAGGTAAATTTAACTCCAACCCCTATTTTTTCTTACTTAGAAAGGAAGTTTTAGTATCATATTAATACTTTCAAACAACCAATTGTAGGTTTTTCAAGCAATTTTTGGTGATATTCTTGGTTCAACAAATGGCATCCAGGATATTCAGGCTCATTGCTGGAGTATGTAGAACAATGATCATTGCAAATACTGGCGGGGCTCTCACTCTTCTGCTTATCTTCTTGCTGGGAGGTTTCATCATTCCTAAAAGTAAACATCAAAACTAGACATGAATAAATTATGTTCTTTGAATTAATGTTTATCTTGGTTTGTTAATCCATTACCAACAAGGTTTAATAAATTTGTGACAGATCAAATTCCGAAATGGTGGGAATGGGGGGTTATTGGGTGTCACCTTTGACATATGGATACAATGCCATGGCCATAAATTAAATGTATGCTCCAAGGTGGAAGAAGCAACCGGTATGTTAAAATCCATCTATGTTACACATTTTACCAAATTTTGTTCATAAATAGATTCATACTCTTGTAAAAACAAGAAATTAGCATGTTATTAATAACAATTTTAACTACAATGCAGTCTTCAGAAAATGGCACTAGCCTAGGGGTGAAAGTTCTCAGAAACTTTGATGTCTTCACAAATGAAAACTGGTATTGGATCAGCGCAACAGCGCTCTTTGGGTTCACAGTGCTTTTCAATGTCCTCTTTACCTTTGCACTCATGTACCTTTACACTCTCACGAGACAACTGAATATTTTGAGTTAAATAACTATACCAGGAAATTTTATTATCTAGTAACTTAAAGAAGAAGCAAGAACTAACTAAAATATCCTCTTTGTTCACCATTTCAGGCAATTCCTGGAATCCCCAAGATTAAGGACAAGTACAATCCCGCGACATGGATGTTGGAAGTGAGCTCGATTGCAGCTGAAGTTAGACTTGGAATGGACTTTGCTGAATACTACAAATCATCTTCCTTGTATCAGTAAATACACAGCTCTAAAAACCAATGCCAATGTTAAATTCATGTTTTCTTAGGCACTTTTGAATTAATATATACACCTAAAATCAGGAGAAACAAGGCATTAGTGAAGGAGTTAAGCACACCTCCCCCAGGAGCTAAAGACCTCTACTTCCCCACTCAGTATTAACAATCCTCGTGGGGACAATTCAAGTCTTGCCCCTGGAAGCTGTGGTGGACATATTGGAGAAGTCCAAGTTATAACCTTGTTAGATACTTCTTCACCTTGGCATCTGCCCGTTTGGTTGGTACAATTTTCTGGCAGGTTAGCAGAAAAAGTTTTGCACAAATATTCTACTTAGGAAATTCACTCATACTTCTGCATGCCTACAATAACATAATTAACATCTTTTTCCCCATGGTTTAGGGAGAGCTCAATTGATCTTATGATGATCATTGGATCCATGTATGCTACAGTCTTCTTCCTCGAAATTAATAACTGTGGAACAGTCCAACCAATAGTAGCTATAGAAAGGACAGTATTTTATCATGAAAGGGCAACGGGAATGTACTATGCACTACCTTATGCACTTGCACAGGCAAAAAGAAAGGCATTTTTTCTGTATATACCTCTTCTGTTTCACCTTAATTAGTATTGATTCATTTTATTTTTTGCACGCAGGTGATTATTGAGATACCTTATCTGTTTGTACAAACCACGTACTACACCCTCATTGTGTATGCCATGGGGGGATTTCAATGGACTGTAGCCAAATTCTTCTGGTTCTTCTTCATCAGCTTTTTCTCCTTCCTTTACTTCACATACTACGGAATGATGATCATTTTCATCACACCAAACCACCAAGTGGCATCCTTATTTGCAGTAGCTTTGTATGCACTCTTCAATCTATTCTCTGGTTTCTTCATCCCAAAATTGGTGAGTTAACTTTATTCACAAGTATATTCTATTCATGGTTCAGTTAATCATATTGACTCAAAAATTTGTTCCATGTTGATGAAATTGCAGAGAATTCCCAAGTGGTGGATTTGGTACTACTGGTTCTGCCCAGTGGCATGGACAGTTTATGGATTAATCATATCACAATATGGTGATGTAGAACAGACAATCAAAGTTCCAAGATACACAATAGAACCATCTATTAGATCATATATTAAGAGCCATTTCAGGTATGATCCAAACTTCATGAGGCCAGTTGCTGGTGTTCTGATTGGATTCACAGTGTTCCTTGACTTCAGGTATGCCTAATGCAAAAAGACACTTAACTTCCAAGTGAGGTAGAGGTAATTCATGCCGAGAAATTCTTCCTCAGCCATTTGTTACAGATGGAAAGCGACCTTGTGAATACAAAAACATAGTGGAAATAGTTGTATTAGGCCTCTGTGTTAATCTTTTAGAAGCATATATGGCGTAGGAGTCGATACCGAAACACCGATTTTGGCGAGATTTAGAATCCCACTACGATGAATTCGATTGCCAAGTTCACCACTTAGGTTGGCAAGACCTAAGATATAGAGATAAATTGAGAGAATCCACCCTCAAGAAACTCACTCAACAGAGGAGAATTATAAACTGAAATTTTTGGATTCAAACTTCTCCATACAACGAAGGGAATATAGTTATTTAAAGGCAAAATCTAATATAAGGCAATAAATGAAAATTGAAAATGCAGTTGGGAGTTAGCCATTTAGTGGCCACTTTGACAAAATTGCACCGGCCTATTTGTACCCTGCAAAGTATAGTCTGAAGTTGCTGACTTGCAATCTTGGTGCAATGACGTGGTGCTTTCCCCTGGTGCATTCTCCCCTGGTTGGAGAAAACTCGTCCTCGAGTTTGAGTTCAATGCTCATGATCCTCATAGTAAGGAGATAGGTCAGCTACATTGAAAGTAGCAGAGACTCCATAGTCACCTGGAAGTTTGATCTTGTAGGCATTATCATTGATTTTCTCCACTATCTGAAAAGGACCATTTGCTCTAGGGAAGAGTTTGACATTAGGTCGATTAGGAAACCTTTCCTTTCGAAGGTGTATCCAAACCCAATCTCCTTCTTTATACACAACCTTCTTTTGGTGCTTGTCATGATGAGCCTTATACCTAATGGTTTGACGTTGTAGCTTCTCACGAACTTCTTCATGAAGTTTCTTGATCTCCTTGGCTCGTTGTTCAGCATCTGCACTAAATTGTCGAGATGTGGGCAATGGAGCAAGATCTAAAGGACTAAGAGGACGCACTCCATATACTACTTCAAATGGGCATTTTCCTGTAGCTTGATTTGAAGAGTTGTTGTAGGCAAACTCAGCTTGGGCAAGCACAAGATCCCATTGTCGCAAATTTTTTCCCACAAAACTTCATAGTAGATTCCCCAAAATCTTATTGATAGCTTCAGTTTGCCCATCAGTTTGGGGATGGCTAACAGAACTAAACTGGAGTTGAGTGCCCATCTTTCTCCATAAAGTCCTCCAAAAATGACTCATGAACTTCACATCTCTATCTGAAGTGATGGTCTTTGGAACTCCATGTAGATGCACAATCTCTCTAAAATATAACTCAGCAATGAGAGAAGCATCATTAGTTTTCTGACAAGCAATAAAGTGAGCCATTTCAGAAAATCTGTCAACCACGACCATGATAGAATCCTTGCTTCGTTGAGTTCGTGGTAGACCAAGGACAAAATCCATACTAACATCTTCCCAAGGTGAAGTTGGGATAGGCAATGGCAGATACAACCCTGTGTTTTGATTGATTGTCTTGGCTTGGTGACAAACTTTGCATCTTTGAATGTGACAAATGACATTCTGCTCCAACTTTGGCTAGTAAAAACTTTCTTTAACAAGAGCTAAAGTCTTGTCTCTCCCAAAATGACCAGCTACCACCATTATGTGCTTCCCAAATAATTGAATGTCAGAGTGAGCAACATGGAACACATAGTCGGTTACCCTTGAAGAGGTAATCTTGCTGGCGATGATATTGCTGAAAGGCTTGATTAGAAGTGGCTTGCCAAATGTTGCTAAAATCAGGATCATCCTCATACAACTCCTTGATCACTTCAAATCCAGTGACTTTCATTTGTAAGGAAGTAAGCAAGGCATGTCGGTGACTTAGAGCATCAGCTACACAATTTTGGACTCCAGATTTGTATTTGAGGAAAAAAGGATAAGCTTGTAGAAATTCACTCCAAGCAGCATGTCGGCGACTGATCTTCTGTTGAGAATTCAGGTGCTTCAATGCCTCATGGTCAGAGTGCAAGATGAATTCTTTGGAAAGAAGATAATGACTCCAATGCTCTAAGGCTCAAACAATTGCATAGAATTCTTTGTCATAGGTGGAATATCTGAGCTTTGTGTCATTCAACTTTTCACTAAAGAAGGCAATGGGTCGACCTTCTTGACTTAACACTGCACCAATTCCAACATTAGAAGCATCACAATCTACTTCAAACATCATGTCAAAGTTGGGAAGTGCAAGTACAGAGGTTTCAGTGAGCTTCCTCTTTAATTCTTCAAAGCTCTGTTGGGCTTTGTCACTCCATAAAAATTTGTCACCCTTAAGGCTGTCAGTAATAGGGGCAACAATAGAACTTAAATTCTTGATGAATCTTCGGTAAAAAGATGTCAGGCCATGGAAGCTTCGAACATCATGCATCGATGTTGGTGTAGGCCAGTTGACAATAGCATCAATCTTACTGGGGTCCATCTTAATACCTTGAGCAATGATGATGTATCCAAGAAATGTCACACTTGTAGTGAGGAATGAACCTTTCTTGAGATTAGCATAAAGTTTCTGCTCTCTAAGGACTTCCAAAACTTGCCGAAGATGGTCTAGGTGCTCCTGTTCATTCTTGCTATATACCAGGATATCATCAAAGTAAGTCACAACAAATTTCCCAATGAATGGTTGAAATACTTGGTTCATAAGGCGCATGAAAGTGTTGGGAGCATTAGACAATCCGAATGGCATGATCGTCCACTCGTACAAACCATCTCTAGTTTTGAATGTTGTCTTCCATTCATCATCGGGACGCATTCGAATCTAGTGATATCCACTTCTCAAATCAATCTTTGAGAAGACAGTAGCTCCATGCAGTTGATCAAGCATATCATCAAGACGTGGAATTGGGAAGCGGTACTTGATAGTGATTTTGTTGACTGCTCGACTATCTACACACATTCTCCAAGTTCTGTCTTTCTTTGGGATGAGTAGCACAGGCACGGCACATGGGCTAACACTTTCCTTGACAAGTCCTTTCTTCATCAGTTCTTTGACTTGTCGTTGAAGTTTCGCATACTCTTGAGGGTTCATCCGATAAGCGGGCTTGTTTGGGATGATAGATCCTGGGATGAAATCAATGGCATGCTGAATGTCTCTCATTGGTGGTAATCCAAGAGGGATCTCGTCAAGAACAACATCAGAAAATTCTTCAAGGGGAGATCGGATTTCTTCTGGAAAATGGCAAGTGGCATCATTTACTTTGGATAATAGTAGGAGACATGCTATTCCCGACTCTTGGTGCAACTTCTGAAAGGTTGATCTGGAGATTAAAGCCTTGTCCTCACCCTTCTTTTCAAGTGTTTCTTCAGGCTTCAAGGGAGTGAGCTTGACCTTCACACCATCTTCCACAAACGAGTAGGTGTTAGCATGGCCGTCATGGATAGCCTTTCGGTCAAATTGCCAAGGGCAACCAAGTAACAAGTGACAAGCGACAAGCATCCATAGGAATAACATCACACCATACTTCGTCTTGGTACTTGTTACCAATAAAAAAAGAGACAAGGCAACGTTTGGTTACTTTTACCTCGTTTCCCTTTCGTAGCCATTGTAACTTGTATGTATGGGGATGATCTTTGACAGGCAGACCTAGCTTCTCAACCATATAATTTGACACAACATTCTCACAACTTCCACTGTCAATGATGACATTGCAGACTTTCCCTCGAGAAGTGCATTTGGTGTGAAAGATGTTATGTCGAAGCCGATCTTCATCCTTGGTTATGGTAGCATGTAGACTACGACGCACAACCAAAGATTCTCCGTGGTGAGCTGGGATGAGTTTTTCCTCAAGTTGGGGTGACTCAGTTTCATCATTTTGCTCCTTTTGTGCTTCATCTTCTGAGGCTTCATGAATTTCTCCTCCGATAATGGTGACAACTCTCCTATTTGGATAGTCGGAGGCTATGTGGCCAAATCCTTGACACTTGAAACACTTTCAAGTGTTAGATTGAGCTGGACGGCTTTAGTTGACTTCCTTCTCAGTCTTGGTAGGGGTCTTAGCAGCAGTTTTTGAGGCTTGAGTCTCTCTGCTGGCTCTAAAATCCCGCGGTTTTGAAGCACTAGTGATATTCTTCTTTGAGATTTGCTTTTCAACCCTCAATGCTAGCCGAACTACATCATCCAAAGTCCAATATTGTTGAATTTGAACAACTTTGGAAATGTCATAGTCCAACCCTCCAAGATATCGAGCTATGGTTTGCTCGTCCTTTTCCCGAACATCACACTTCATCATTAATTGATCGAACTCTATAGTATATTCTTCCACAGTCAAAGATTTTTGCTGTAAGTTATGAAATTTAACAAAATTATCTTGGTAGTAACGGTCAGGTAAAAACTTACGAGTGAGTTCCCGACGCATTTTCTCCCAAGTTCTAATTTTGTTGCGGCCTTCTCTTTCTCGACTGCGTTTGAGATTCTCCCACCAAATGGATGCATGCTTCTTTAATTTGATGGCGACGAGCTTTACACGCTTGTTGTCAGGAATATCCTTGAGTTCAAACACACGTTCCACAGTGTGCAACCAGTCGATAAATTCATCTGGTTGAAGGCGACCTTCAAAATCTGGAATATCAATTTTGATGCCAAGGTCAGTGGATTTGGGAGCAGCATTTTGTTGGGGACGTCGTCGACGACGAACCTTTTTTGTTGATGATGAGCTTTCATTATCCCTTAGGTGATGGAAGGGATTCTTGTCATCAGTATCTTCCTCTGACTCATGTGGTTCATCTTGCGGGTGTTGAGTTTGCTGTCCCTCAAAAGCTTCGAGTATTTCTTGAAGCCTTTGAATTTGTTGACGTAGTTCTTCCATTTCTATGTCCCGAACAGCTCGTTGACGAGGAGGATTTTGTCTTCTAGGAGGCATGATGAGTTTAGGTTGGTAAGGGGCTTTTTGGAAAGTTAGTGTTTGAAAATGGGGGTAATTTGAAATTTATAAAATTATGGGATCAATCTGTAAGGTCAAAATAAGTTGAGGGACTTGATGATGTGGCAAAGAGTGCTGTGTAGTGATGACGTGTCACTGACGTGGCTGATGACATGTCAAGTGACGTGGCATAGATGACGTGGCAAATAAATGATGTGGTAGTGATTGGATGATGACGTGTCGATGACGAGGCTGATGACGCATCGTTGACATGGCGAATGACGTGGCGAATGAGAGGTTGAAGATGACCGGCGCGTGACCTTCACGCGATTTGCAGTGGTGCGAGTGGCCGGCACATGAGACAACGACGGTGGCCGTGAAGGCGCGTGCAACCTTGATTGTCAACTGGATTTTCACCAGAACGCTCAGAATGACGTGCAGACTCCAAATATATTGGCTTGGATACCAAATGGCGTAGGAGCCGATACCGAAACACCGATTTTGGTGAGATTTAGAATCCCACTATGATGAATTCGATTGTCAGGTTCACCACTTAGGTTGGCAAGACCTAAGATATAAAGATAAATTAAGAGAATCCACCTTCAAGAAACTCACTTAACAGAGGAGAATTATAAATTGAAATTTTTGGATTCAAACTTCTCCATACAACGAATGGAACATAACTATTTAAAGGCAAAATCTAACATAAGGCAATAAATGAAAAGTGAAAATACAGTTGAGAGTTAGTTATTTAGTAAAAGTGAAAATGCAGTTGGGAGTTAGCTATTTAGTGGCCACTTTGACAAAATTGCACCAGCCTATTTGTACTCTGCAGAGTGTAGTCTAAAGTTGTTGACTTGCAATCCTGGTGCAATGACGTGGTGCTTTCCCCCGGTGCAATATATATAGATATGACGATGCTTTTGATTTTGCTATGTAGATGATGACAGTAGTCATTTACAAGATTTTGAAAGTTGTAATGGGTTACTTGCTACTGGGAAACGTAATGAATTTTTAGGGAAAAATCTTTGTGCCACAATGAATAGCTAAAGTTATATTTTCCTTAATTATTATGCTCTTAATTAGATATGCCAGTATATATACAAAAGTTCTGAATCGGGCTTTAAGTTGCAATTTTACCCGCACAAGGCCTAAAATTCAAGATTTAGCCCTTTCACATTATACCAGAATTACATCTAATGTAACTCCCTACCAGACACATTGTAAAATCAACTGGGAAAAACTTATTCAAATCAACATAAAACTCAAGAGATAATCTTGAGAAACATGTAAAAGAGGAACAAAATAACATAAACCTAGTTAGAGAGGATGCTAAGATTTTTTTTCATTAATTTTCCATAGGTTTTTCACCAATTATGGTATGCTTTTGTACAAAACAACACCTGCCACATAGTGTTCACCTAATACAATTTAATAATGATATAAACCCTACAAACCAAGGATCATGGTACATGGATAAAATTAAAGTCAAATCATATATATATTTAGGTGAAACACTTAACGGTCAAAGATACATAATATATATCTAAAACACTTAACATCAAAGATACATAAATATTACATTGAAAAATCAACATAGAAATTTCTCAACAACATAATTGAAACTGAACTGGACATAAACAGTGGACATAAACAGTAACCTAGCTGCACTGTCCCATTTATCTTCAACATACATACACCAACAACATACCTAAAAGCTTACTTTAAACATCGGAGAATCGCTATGAAACATAAAAAAAGGAGACAATCAATGACAAATTCCATCAACAGAGCACTGGAATTGCCGTTGTTTACCAGTGGAACAAGTTTCTTGCCCAATTTTTCATCATACCCAGTGCTGCCCTGACGGAATCGAAAGCACTGACGGAATGGATTGCAGTGTTGACGGTAATAGGCAGTATGGGTTGGGTTAAGTCCCGATGTAGACTGAGAATAAGGTGTCTAGTAAGGAGGAGCCACACAAGTAAGAAGACCGAGGCAATGTATGGTTTGCTAATAGAAATGAGTGAAATGACCGCTAATGAACCCGTCAGGACAGTAATGGTCCTCAAAATTTCGCTCCAATGGCGTGCGTGGAAATCATGATAAGCGATTCCGAGACCAGCATCAGCAACCAGTGCCATAGTGCACAACATCAACATTACACAGTAACTGGACAGTATGAAAGAAACAAAGGGCGGAGAGAGCGCGGAGTATTGTAGTAGAGGAGTGAATGCTGCTATTAGTAGGCCCAATATGGCTATTGTTCCAGCAGAAAAGGATTTGCACAGCCTGCAAAGCAAATCCATAATGGAAATTGGGAAAGTTAATTAGCAGGCTTTATATAATTCATATGGTGTCAGGCCCAA